TCTTATCCTTTCTTTCCTTTTAATTTATGACGATAGATAATGATGACGCACATATACAAAGGAGATAGCAAAATAAAGAAAAATATTTCGTTGTTTAGATCTATTAACAGCAGCTCATCTTTCTTCATATAGGTCACTACACGTGGTACTTGATCCCTCGAACTGAAGAAAAACAAAGTGTATTTAACAACAAATCCTTATCTGAAGTTCTAAGAACTACGCGTTACTCTCTCTCTCTCTCTTTTTGCAAAACTGAAGAATATTATTATCTTTTAAGATTTTTAATTCGAATTTTCGTTAATGTGTACTACAAACAGACCTATATTCTAGAATAACCTAAGATGAAAGAAGACAATGGATCAAAGTGAATTTTCATTTCGTGGTAAATTATTGAGTATATTAGACCAATTGAGCTATGATGACTGTCGTCGTCTGAAATTTTTATTCGGTCCAGATATACCACGTTATTTACTTGATGATCCATCAATTATCGGTACATTAGATGTTTTTCAAACTCTGATTGATCGCGCAAAAATCTCACAAAAAGATTTTACATATCTGATTAAAGCATTTGAAGTTATAAAACGTTTTGATGCAGCTGATTATTTGAAAGGTAGTAGTAGCTCCATAGAAATTGCAATTTATAATCGTACATGGTTTTTCTGTTTTCTTTTAAATAGAACATCCCTATTCATATTTACCAACTAATACAAATACACTAATAACACCGTACCACCGACCTCCTTCACTTGTAGATGAACTTATATGTGTCTATGCCGAAGACGATAAAATTCCTTGTAAGTGTAATTAGATCTAACAAATAGTTTCATATGTAATCTGTTGTATTATAGAACGATTAAAGTGAATAAGAAACTAAAAGACATATTCAGTTATCCAACAGTATAAGTTTTTCATAGCTAAATACATCTTGGAACGTCAAGGCTTTAGATCGACAGATTTTCGCAAAAAAAATATTATTTAATTTAATTTAAACTAAGTTTATTAAACAACAAATCGAGCTATGCTCATTACATGGTGTGACAATTTGATCATAAGAGAAATACAGTTAATTGCTTTAAACCATCTTATCAGTATTTCTGATTGTAAAACAATAACTGGGATGAAAATTTGCGGACTTCAGCATTCGATGGCCAAGCCTTTAAATCATTATTTTATAATTAAAACGAAGTCCTTGTAAAAGGCTGTATACCGAAGTATTTTTTATGAGTTTTTCATGTACTATAGCAAAAACACACTGATTGAAACAAACCTATAGAACTGGGCCTCATCAACCAAATCGCCGAAGCGATTTTAGTGCAATCCGCAAATCGCACAATGGACTACGGTATTACATTTAGTGTACTTCCGGAGTATACCAAGGAGCTCTAGAATGGTCCTGTTTCCTAGAGAAAAGCATTTCTCAAAATTATCCAGAATAGTAATTTGAGGCAAAATTGCCACTTTTAAATCGTCTATATTGGGAACGAAAGCATTTGAGACCGTCAGACGTTTACCAAATATGCTTTGACACATAGTCTAAGCTCTAACAAGCAATTAGAAATTGTCTGTCATTTTTGAAAAATGAAGCAACTGTTAAGATCGGGCGCTGTCACCAGGTGGAAATCCTTTTCACCGATTGAAAAGTCTAAGTTGATCGCGCAAATAAAACTTTATTTGTATTCAACAAAAACCTATCGAACCTACTAAAATACATCGCTATTTATAGCAAAAAATCAAACATTTAAAATGAACAAAATGATGCAACTCTAAATCACAGAAAACTAGGATTATCTGGAAATCTATGATGTAATGAAAAGAGCTAGAAATCCTATGAATGATGAAGTAGTACCTAGAAGAGCGTACAAGACCATTGGTCTGATGAAATAGACAGCTACCATATGATATCGCAAAAACAGAACGAGATGAAATTCATATGATGAAATGGACAAAGAGAAAGAGATCGTAGTTATGATGACACATAACAAGGGAACGAAAAGAGATAAACGAAATACATGACAAACAGTTAAAACAGAATGACCTTTAACTTAGGGAGTGAACGTATTCACTTCCTAACAGCAACAATTTATATTATCTATTTGCACGTTATGTTTTCCACTTTGCTTCCATCAAATAAGTAGAACTACAGTATTTCAAAGTTCAACAAGACCAACATTTCGAATCGTTTTGTCATAATAGAAGGAAAATTTTTCAAAGCATATAATCTTGCACAATATGAGTGAAAGAAAGAGAAGAGTATTGCTTTTTCTTTTTCTTCAATTAACAACCTATGTAAGAATGAAAACACACTCGTGCATTTATCAGGGTTTTATATATGAGTACACCTCTTTTAGAGTGTAAGTAACCAGACATCATCATTCTGAGATTTTTTGCATGAGTATTCAATTAAAAAGCATTCATACTGGTAAGATGCAAACCATGCGAAGTCTCTAACGATAACGAAACAAATATCTACTGACGGCTACGCTTCATAGTAAAAATAAGAAGAAAATTTATCGTTGTCATATTATTTTTGACGTTTAACGCCAGGTGAGGCATTTTTTCATCATTTATCAATAGAAATATAGTACACGGTGTTTTAACAAGCAGTTAAAAAATTGTCTGTTATTTTCGAAAATGCAATAATCATTTAACAGTGGTTCTTGTCTTAATAAGAAGGTTGGGTTCATATTGACATGAGTAAATTCTCTTCTTTTATTTTATTTGATATTAATTAATTAGTAACGTTTCGTATCTCGATGAGATACTTCTTCAAACGTTAAATTTAAGACAAATCATTTAACATATAATAACCTAAAATAAGAACAAAACAAACAATTTTCTTCTACTTTTCTTTCTTAGTCAT